ATATATATATAATAAATAATATAAAAATATATATAATAATATAATATATAATAATTAAATATATAAATAATATATATGTAATATATAAAATATATAAAATTAAAAAATATATAATATAATATATAAATAATTATATAATACAATTTGCATATAATAATATAAAATACAATATATTATATTGTAATTTATACAACCTAAAATGAAACACAATCACGCAATAAAAAATACATATACAAAAAAAGATTCACATATATATATAACACCATAGATCAAAATTCAATATTACAAATATAACAATTAATAACAAATAAGAGTTTCCACCATAACGTGAATCGATACGATAATAAGAAAAATGAACGATCCATCGAAGAATATTACAACTACCCTCAAAAAACCAGGCACCCAAAGAAAAAAAAAACAATAACAAAAAAATCAAATAAAAAAAGATAAAAAATTATAAGAAAAGATGAGAAAGAATTCTACAAAAAAATAAAAATACAATTTTTCATATAGAAAAAGGTAGAGATCTCGTCTTCTTCTTCTTCTTCTTCTTCTTCTTTTTCTTTTTCTTCTACTTCTTCGCAAAAGGAAACACGATATCCATCTCTCGTTCTTGGCTTGTTGGTCCGCCCACGTGTTTTACGTTGACCGTTAAAATTTGCCTCTTCTTGTGCAGAAAGCTCGCGACATCATCTCGTTCCCCTGGTAGGAGCCAGTGTATTATTTTTCCACCGGTTTGCCAAATTGGCTCGCACGGAATCTCGAATTACTCGACACTCGATATCACCAGGAGGATAAAACTTCCACCTACCTTGTGCACACCACCCTTCCTTCTCTTTCTTCACCCCTCTCCCTCTCTCTCTCTCTCTCTAACACACACATACTTACAAACCCACGATTTCTCTCATACATACATACATACACACGCGTTTATTGTATCTCATCTTTATCATAGGAACCAATGATGAACGTTTCAAATGAAATTGACGATACTTCATTCATTCAATATGATACTTTTATCTATCTTTCTCTTTCTATCTTGTATATATTCTTATATGTTTAATATTTTTTTTCTCTGTTCTACACAAACCCATGATTTCTCTCACACATATATGCACATGCGTTTATTGTATCTCTATCTTTATTATAGGAACCAATGATGAACGTTTCAAATGAAATTAAACGATACTTCTTTCTTTCATTTAATGAACACTTTTATCTATCTATCTATCTCTTTCTATATTGTCTATATTCTTATAGTTTTATTATTTATATTTTCTGTCTCTTTTTTTTTACACTCTTGCATTTATATTTTTTTCTTTCTTATACATTAATTGCATTTATTCTTTTTTTATATTTTTTTGTCTCTCTTATACACTAATATTTTTGTTTATTTTATATTTTCTTTCTCTCTTGCACATTATTACATTTATTTTTTTTTTAAATATTTTCTGTCTCTCTCATACACTAATATTTTTCTTTTCGTTTCGTATTCTCTTTCTTTCTTATACACTATTGCATTTTTATTTTATATTATCTTTCTCTCTTATACACTCTTGCAATTATATTTTCTTTCTCTCTTGCACACTCTTACATTTATCTTTTTTTTTCTATTATCTTTCTCTCTTCTACATTTTTATATATATATATATATTTTTTTTAATATTCTCTTTCTTTCTTCTACACTTTTTATATTATCTTTTTTAATATTCTCTTTCTCTCTTATACACTCACATTTCTCTTATTTTAATATTTTCTATCTCTCTTGTACACACATATTAAACTTTATATATATATATATTCTCTGTCTATCTCATTCTGTTTCTTTTTAACCATCATCGTGGGCTGCCTCCATGATCTTCTCCCTTACCGTAATACGTCGGTCTTGCATATGGGGGCTCTCCATACACGACCCGTAACCCAATAGGCTTCCCGTAGGAAGATCATGCTTCGGTACAAAGGCTGATCGCTACATCGCACGCGATCACGATTCACGTCAGAGAAACTGATGATCTTCATAGCACCATTTGCTCGATTATTATTCTTTCTTCATACCTAGAGCTAGATATTAGTGGCTTTCGTACCTGCCCCTCACCCAACCCCACCCA